GGAGGGGCTGGGGGTCTGGACTCCCCGGGTCCGAGGGAGGAGGGGCTGGGGGTCTGGACTCCCGGGTCCGAGGGAGGAGGGGCTGGGGGCCTGGACTCCCGGGTCCGAGGGAGGAGGGCTGGGGCCTGGACTCCCGGGTCCGAGGGAGGAGGACTGCGGCCTGCATTTCTGGGTCTGAGGGAGGCGGCGGGCGCAGGGCCCTCACCTTCGGCGCGGACGGTCAGCACCGGGCTGCGCTGGGACAGCACGTAGGGCGCGGAGGGCGTGTGGTAGTAGCAGCTGTAGGTGCCGGGGGCGCGGGCGCCCAGCAGCGGGAAGTCGGCCCAGGGCTGCGCCGAGTCGCGGTACTGCAGCGGGGCCGCCACGTCCACGCGGTACAGCACGAAGCTCATGTTCCGCAGGCCGCCCGCGCAGCGCAGGGTCACGCGGCCGCCGGGAGCCGCCACCGACCCGGGCAGCGCCACCAGCGACGGGCGCGGCAGCTCCTCTGCGGGCGGGGGGCGGGGGGCGTGGGCGCCTGTCCAGGGGCGCGCGCTCTGCCTGTCTCTGTCTCTCTGCCTCTCTCTCTGCCTCTGTCTCTCTCTCTGCCTCTGTCTGTCTCTCTCTGCCTCTGTCTCTCTCTGCCTCTGTCTGTCTCTCTCTGCCTCTGTCTCTCTCTCTGCCTCTGTCTTTCTCTCTCTCTGCCTCTGTCTCTCTCTCTCTCTCTCTGCCTCTGCCTCTGTCTCTGTCGTTCTCTTTTGTTTTTCTTTTGAGCCAGAGTCTCGCTCTGTCGCCCAGGCTGGAGTGCAATGGTGCGATCTCAGCTTACTGCAACCTCTGCCTCCGGGGTTCAAATAATTCTCCTGCCTCAGCCTCCCGAGGAGCTGGGATTACAGGCTGGAACCATGACGCCCAGCTAATTTTTTCGTATTTTTAGTAGAGACGGGGTTTCACCGTGTTAGTCAGGATGGTCTCGAACTCCTGACCTTGTGATCCACCCACCTTGGCCTCCCAGAGTGCAGGGATTACAGGTGTGAGCCTCTCTCTCTCTCTCTCTCTCTCTCTCTCTCTCTCTGTCTTTT